AAAAAAAAAAAAAAAAAAAAAAAAAAAAAAAAAAAAAAAAAAAAAAAAAAAAAAAACAGGAAAAGACAAGAAAAACGACAAAAAGGGAAACGACAAAAAAAGGGGGAAAAAAAAGGGAAAAAAGGAAAAGAAGAAGAATTGTGGCGAGAAAAAGGACAATGCGATCATGGGTTCCAGTCGGGGGACTTATCTGCAAATGCTGTGTTTTTCGTGCAGATTCTCCCGGATTGCCTCTGTGTCCTTATTTCTTCGTTTCTTCTTCTTCTTCTTTTCTTTCCCTGTGTGTGTGTGTGTGTGTGCCCCGCCCCAGTCCCTCCGGGGGGACCTCGGGGTCGGAAGGCCAAGAGCCGCCGGGGGTTGTTGGCCAACCGGCCCGCAGCCCCCCGGATGCCACACATCACTCCAACCACATACACTGCACAAGGTTAGACCAAGACATAGTTCTGCTCTAGGATCGCCCTTACCTGATGCGCGGAGACAAGGCCTGGTTGGTACAGCTGGATCTTGTTGAAAAACAGTGAGACCGTGTCCCAGCAGTCCCTCTCGGGGAAGCCGTTTCTCACCATGTCTGTAATTAGCTTGTCGATTTTCTGCGCGACGTCATTTGATTTGGAACATAGCAACAGTATCAACGCGGTTTGTGCTGTGATGATTTGCAGTGACTGTGCTATGCTGCGGTTTGATTTGAATTTCATGAATTTGTTAGGTGTGAATCCTAACCCGGTGTGTTTGTTGTGTTTCGTTGTGCAGAATTCTCTCCCGTGAGGGGTGATTCGATTGTTATTGTGAGGTTTAGGAAATTAGCAACCCTTCCTTTCCCCTCCACCACCACTTCCGTGTTCTCTTTGATCTCGATGAAGTCCTTGGGGTATATCCAGCAGGGATCGTTGCTCGCTTTGCCTTCAATGCTCAGGAAGTCCCTGATGACTGCGTTGTTGAGGGCGCTGAGGTCGTCTATGTACCTGGTTGTGTGATGAAAGCAGTGAAGCACATGGGTGTTGCCAGTGTCCACCAGTCTCATCATGGCCTTGTACTCGTACTTGAAAAAGTAGATGTCACACCCGATGGGTGAGCATACCAATCCCATTGGAATGCCCAGAATCTGCTTCCAGACACAGTCTCCCAGCTGGATCTGACTGTTGGCGATGCACCATTCAGTGATCCAGATTACATCCTGGTCATCAAAGGTGATTTCGTCCTCAGTCACCTGGTGCTCATTGCTCGTCCATGAGGGAAAAAACTTGCCCCCGCTGCTCACCCTGATTCTTATGACATCATTGGTGATTCTGTATCTCCTGTACTCCATGGGACATTGCACAAAGAACTTGACCGCTGTCATAAGGCTGTGCCCCGATCCGTCGGTGGGGATCGTTTCAAAGCACCTTGTGATATCTGCTGTGAACACTGAGTAGATGACTTTCGGAAGATTCGCCACGTACTCCCCTACTGATGAGATCGGCCACCATAAATTCGGCTTGACCCCATGCTCGATCCTGACCCCTTCACTCTTCGTTGTCCTGCTCGATACGACGATTGACTCAGACTTTCCCCTTTAGTCGAGCATTACCAGCCCCGATGGTCTATCTGTTAGGGTCATTGGTTTTGTTCGCTCCCAGTTCCCTACCCTTATTGAGCCTGATGACATGTGTTTCCCCTGTCACTATGTGTGGATGCCCTTAGGAGTTCTCGACCCCTAGGCTGCATTCGCCACCCTCACAGACCATCCCACCCTTTGGTTTGCGACACACTTCTCCTGTGACATATGGTTATTGTTGTTGCTTTGTTGCTCTCAGACTGAGGCTACTGCCTTTGACATTTTTAGGATTTAGTTGTTTTGCTTTTGCTGTTCTTAGGACTTATACACTAGTCACCTCCTTCCAGACTGAGGCTACTGCCTCCAACATTCTAGGACCTAGCTGTCATTACTTTCTGCTTTCCTAGGACATGTATGCTAGTTAGTTGCTTTTGCTTTCACTTAGGCTGTTAGTTGTGACATTGCTGTTTTATGACATTTTCTATTCTAGGTTGCATCGCATGAACTCAGTCACTCAGCATGGAGTTTGCCCCGCATCCTAGACTACTCAGGTTTTCTTTTTCTTTGGTAGAGTTCCGGTTCTTGGCCGAAGCGTGCTTGTATCTAGGCGATCCATCACAGGCCGAGGATCGTGTAGCGGACCTCTGGTTGGTCTGTGAGACCAGTCCCTTGGCGTGCTCTCACAGGCCTGTGTTCTATTCGGGGCAGTCCAGTCCAGGCCGGTACCTCTGTCGGTACCAGCCAGTCCAGTCCAGTCCCGTCAGTCCGCCGGGGTATACCCCAGCCGTTGTCTGTTTTCGAGATCATTTGGCATTCGCACAGTTTGGAGTACGTGCGCTGAAGTCTTGTGTGGGAGTTGCGCTGTGCCATCTCGCTCCTCCCTCATCCTCCATCTCCATCATCATCCAGGCGGAGCACCACACCTGGTGGGTCTGCTACAATAACTGTCTGCATCAATATCATACCCCAATAAACATTTCAACGACAAAAACTGTGAATTGCACGACTCTGCAAACATGCGGACATCCTACCCGTGATCGGAGAATACAATACACTCCAATAACTATCTGCATCAATATCATACCCCGACAAATACTTCAACAATGAAAAGCGCGAAGTGCACGACTCTGCAAACGTACGAACATCTTATTTGCAATGCCAATGTCACATGCGGACACTTCATTGTCTCTGATTGTTTCAGCATTTGTTGCATTCCTCAATTGTGCATCATCGTCCATATGAAGTACTACAGATAGTCCATGAGTACGTAATGCACCCTCCTCAAAGATATCCTCACTATCCCCTGGATCAAGGAAAGAGTCACGCCACCCATCATCACTATTATCATCGTCTGCACCATCATCATCTGCATCAGCATCGTCTACGTCAGACTCATCTCCACCACCATCTACCCCATCATCATCATCATATACCAATGCATCGACTGCATGATCGTCATCGTGAGTGGACAATCGGTGTAATACAATATCAATACCACCATCATTGGCTGGCTCGGTCGGAAGCACCTCGTCTAATGTGTCTATATCCAACACACTTGTTGGAATGACAGTGGAAGCTCCTCTGCCTTGTCCCCGACCGCCACCCCCATGACATGAACCTCTAGCTCCATCTGATGCTTTCTCCCTTCGCCCACCTCGACCCATGCCACTGCGTCCTCCCTTGTCCTTGGGGAGAGGATGATGTCCACTATGCTGACCGTCGACACTTCACAACCCCTCAATCTGCCTAGCACTGCCATTTGCCCTCTCCTGCTCAACACTCTTAGGATCAACATAGGAAAATTTGCATGTCCTCGAATTATGACCTACTTGTTGGCACTTGCTGCACTTTGCGAGCCCTCTCTTTGGTGATGATGCTTGCTTGGGTTCTGTTGAAGATCTCATGCGCTGCACAGGGGGCCGTCCTGGTTGTCGTCTCGTCTCAGGTGGCAAAACAATTGGGTCATCTGCCTTCCTCACCAGCTCACCCTCACCGACCATAGGGCACACTATTCCCGCATACGAATCTCTAAGTGCGCTCAACAGTAATCGTGGATCGCAATAATCCTCATGTGAGCGCTTGATCTCCTGCAGTGCACGAGCTGGATGACGACAAGGCCTCCCAAGCTTTTTCCAAAGACCACAAGTGCAATTTTTTTTCCCCATACCCACTATAGTGCTGTATTGCCTTGTGTTACTGCGCGTTCATTGAACGCGCATTTCGCGTTCAGCCTTTGAAGGCGGTGAACGCGTGTTCAGTGAACGGCGGCAAACGCGTTTTGACGCGTTTGTGGAGGGTGTTGTGCGGGGTGGGGGAGGGCTTTGGGCAGTGTGGGGAGCGGCGGCGATGCTTGGGGGGGTTGTGGGCAGTGTGGGGAGCGGCGGCACTGCTTGGAGGAGGCTGTGGGCCAATGCCCCAGACAAAACAGAAAAAAAAAAAAAGTAAAAAAAAAAGTGTGAATGTG